AAAGGTGCCACAGGACCCTCTGTTACTTCTCTTCCCAGGCTCCAATGACTGTCGGAGTGGCCAATCTTTCTTGATGTAGAGGGAATCTCTTGCACGACTAACCCCTTCGTAGAGAAAACAGCAGTATTTTGTGTATCCAGTCTGCAGACCAAGCAAGAGAGCAACAACCTTCAGATCGCCACAAAGCTGCCACTGATGTTGGTCATAGTTTATGCACCTCAAAAGTTGTTTCATGTTGTCATAGGTTTCCTTCATATGGACTGCATGACCAACTGGATTTGATGGCAACCTGTGGAACTCCTTGCCAGATGATGTTGTGAAGGCCAAGACTATAACAGGGTTCAAAAAAGAACTAAATTCATGGAGGATAGGTCCATCAATGGCTATTAGCCAGGATGGGCAGTGAGGGTGTCCCTAGCCGCTGTTTGCCAAAAGCTGGGAATGGGCGACAGGGAATGGATCACTTGATGATTACCTGTTCTGTTCATTCCCTCTGGGGCACCTGGCATTGGCCACTGTCGGAAGACAGGATATTGGGCTGGATGGACCTTTGGTCTGACCCAGTATGGCATTTCTTATGTTCTATCATATCAGAAAACTGGTACTGTTCTCTGACCTGGCCTCCTTCTCCCCGATCCTAGACTGAAAGCAGATGTGAATATTATTAGAAGTACAGTAGATTCTGCTTATTAGCAATCTCTCATTTGCCAGCAAAAAAGTTGCCATTGTACAGCATTTGTCAGTAAGCAGAAGGCAAGTTTTCAGGGCTACAGCCAGGGAAGACACACCCCAGTGCTTCCTTCCTTGGCTGCAGCCCCACAAACCTGCCTGCAGGCAGGACAGCAGCAGGGAGGGAGGTTCCTGCCCAGATGCCAGGACTTTCTACTCTGAGCGGAGGCCTTGGGGGCCCACAGAGCTGCATGGTACCTCTCCCTCTGCCCCCAGGGGGTCGAAGCTCCTCACATCCCAGCTCTTCCTTCTCTAGGTGCAGCCCCCAGCAGGGAGCAGCCCAGAGAGCACAGGGAAAGGTACCACATAATTCTAGCATCAGGGCTGCAGCCCCCATCCCTGCTATTGCCCTGCCCATAGCCTCTCCTCCCACTCTGCAGCCCCTTACTTCCTATGCAGACCCTGTGCACTGGCAGGTTTTCAAGGCTGCAGGCCCAGAAGGAAGCTCTGGGTTGTGCTAAGCACTGGGCACAGGCAGGTTTGTGTGGCTGCAGCCAGGGAAGGCATGTCCCAGCCCTTCCATCCCTGGCTGCAGCTTTGCAAACCTGCCTTTGTCTGGAGCCTTTGTTCCAAAAAAATGTTCGTAATAAGAGGCATGCCATTGTCAATATCCAGATCCCATTAACATTAAAGTAAATGGGATGGGATTAGCTCCTGGCAAAATGTTGCTATTAACCAGATGTTAATATCTGCGTTGTTAGTAAGCAGAATCTACTGTAGCGTGCTTTGCCCCCAGGAGACAGGTGAAGGAGCCTTGGGTTACTCTGTGGTGACCCTGATAACCAAACTACATTGGAGCTCTGAGAAGAGTAACACCCAGTTATCTGCCAAACAGAGCAATTTCTGTAAGAAAAGGCCATTTGGGACTGGAGGCCCTTGACTGAGAACTGGGGAAATGTGCATTGTACATAAAAGACCAATAAAAAAAGCTCCCCTAAAATAAATAAATAAATAACAGACACACATTTTAAGTTGATCTTATTGCAGTGACTTCAGTAGTTCTTAAAAACAATTTGTATTTTAATTAATGATTCTGTAGATGCTTGAGATTACAAATATCTCATGCAGTCTAACTTTTCTCAGTGATTTCTTATATTCTTCCATTTCCTAGTGGTCTTATATAAAAAAATGATATAAAGAGATTCCCTTCTCACTGAATGCAATTTTAAACACTATCTGTGGTCAGAGATGAGGTGATTTGTTACATTACTGGATAAATTCATGGAGGTTAAGTCCATTAATGGCTATTAGCCAGTATGGGTAAGGAATGGTGTCCCTAGCCTCTGTTTGTCAGAGGGTAGAGGTGGATGGCAGGAGAGAGGTCACTTGATCATTACCTGTTAGGTTCATTCCCTCTGGGACACCTGGCATTGGCCACTATCAGTAGACAGGATACTGAGCTAGATGGACCTTTGGTCTGACCCAGTACCGCCATTCTTATGTACTGGACATAACTTTATATTCTTCTTCGAGTGATTGCTCATGTCAATTCCATTCAAGGTGTGCACATGCCCACGTGCGCGGTCGTCAGAGATTTTTGCCTTAGCTGTTTCCGTAGGGCCAGCTGTGGCACCCCCCTTGAGTGCCGCACTCAGGCGTCGGTATATCAGGCATGGCCAGCCCTACGCCCTCTCAGTTCCTTCTTACCGCCCGTGGTGGTTAGTTGGAGTGCCTTTCCTTGCATAGCAAGGGCTAGCGGTTTCATTTCTTCTAACTTCAAGCCTTAGGGCCTTGGAAATAGTTGTTTATAGTTAAGGCTGTGAGTTTGTCACGGAGGTCACAGTTTCAGTGACCTCCATGACTTCTGCAGCGGCTGGTGTGCCTGGCTCAGGGGCAGTTCAGGCAGCCCCTGTGCCAGGCACACTGACCGCTGCTGGGGCAGTCTTGGGCCACTGCCATCCCCTCCTCCAGCAGAGTTTGGGTGTGAGAGGCGACAAGGGCACGGGACAGGGTGAGGCGGGCTCTGGGCAGCGCTTACCTGAGGGGCTCCCTGGAAGCGGCGACATCCCTCTCCCTCAGATCCTAGGCGGAGGTGTGGCCAGGCAGCTCTGCGCACTGCCTCCGCCCCGAGTGCTGGCTTTGCAGCTCCCATTGGCCAGGAACCGCAGCCAGTGGGAACTACGGGAGCGGTGCCTGCAGGCTGAGGCTGCGTGCAGAGCTGCCTGGCCACACCTCCGCACTTCAGCTACCTCTCTGGCTGGATCTGCTGTCCCAGAACCATGGAAGCGTTTTGCACCCAAACCTGGCGGCACTGCCCTTGATGGCTTGGCTACTGCATGGCTAAGCGCGGACGAATGGGCAAACTCGGCCCATGTTCAGTAGGTTTTGCTGGGTAGCAGGAAACCCTCCACCAGAGCGACTTACGTGGCCAAATGGCGTATTCGGGCCAAGCAGGCCCCCCTGCAGAAGGTCCTGGATTATCTGCTGCACCTCAGACTCCCAAGATTTGTCCCTGTCATCAATCAAGGTTGACCTGACCGCTATCTCAGCTTTCCATCCTCTGTTCCAAGGCAGGTCGATCTTCACTCACGACACAACGGCATGGCTTTTGAAAGGCCTGTAGCATTTCTACCTGCACGTCCAGGATCCCATCCACCCCCTCCCCCCCCCCCCCCCGGGAACCCTGAATCTCATGCTGTTGAGGCTCACGAAACCTCCCTTTGCACCTCTGGCTTCCTGCTTTCTCCTGCTTCTCTCCTGGAAGGTTTCGTTCCTGGTCATGATAACTTCAGCCCGCAGGGTGTCCAAGATCAGGCTCACTTCGGAGCCGCTCTATACAGTCTTCTACAAGGATAAGGTCCAGCTGCGACCACACCCGGCGTTTCTGCACAGAGTCATTTCCCAGTTTCATACTGACCCAGAATATATACTTACCTGTCTTCTTTCCAAAGCCTCATGCGTCAGATGAGGCACACAGGCTACACATCCTGGACGTCAGGAGGGCACTGGCCTTCTAGGTAGATAGAAGAAAGCCGTTCCATAAGTCAATGCAGTTGTTTGTTGCGGCGGCAGACAGAATGAAAGGTCGCCCAGTGTCTGCTAAGTGGATTTCATCCTGGATCACGGCCAGCATCTGCTACTGCTATGAGTTGGCAAAGGTGCCTCTGCCGGCGATCATGACTGCACACTTGACTAGGGCACAAGCGTCGTCAGCAGCCTTCCTGGCACAGGTACCAATCCAAGAGATCTGTAGGGCCATTACCTGGTCGTCTGTCCACACGTTTGCATCTCATTATATGCTTACCCAGCAAGCTCGAGACGACGCTGCCTTTGGCAGAGCAGTGCTGCAAGCTGCAAAACCGTGAACTCTGAGCCCACTTCCATTGATACTGCTTGTGGGTCACCTAGAATGGAATCGACACGAGCAAGCACTCTAAGAAGAAAAAATGGTTACTTACCTTTCGTAACTGTTGTTCTTCGAGATGTGTAGCTCATGTCCATTCCATTACCCGCCCTCCTACCCTTCTGTCAGAGTTGCCGGCAAGAAGGAGCTGAGAGGGCGTAGGGCTGGCAGCACCTGATATACCAACGCACGAGCATGGCACTCAAGGGGGCACCACAGCTGGCCCTACAGATACCACTAAGGCAAACATCTCCAATGACCGAGCACGTCAATTTTTTTCAATCCCTTTGCTCTTCTTACTCCTGTGGTCTGTGATTTCGACTGGCTACCAGTCAATGTCAATTGAGGTAAGGTGATGTTTTTACCCTAGTGTGCCCTACACGCTTTGTATCCTATCTGTTTGAGAGACTGCCTCTCCCCATGTGTTATGATTATTTGACATTCTTAAGTTTAGTTTAAACAGGAGGGGGCTGGTAGCAAAGTAAGAGTTTTAATTTCCCTTCTGAATCCACTAGAGCCCAAATTCGGTCATGATCAAATCATAGTACAAGATTCACCTGTGCTCCTATGCGTCCCCTGTGTCAGGGGCTGATTGGGAGATAAATGGAATGATGGGATAGAGTTTGTTTTTTGGGGACTTGGTGGGGCTTAGATATTGTTTGGGATTTGAAAGCCTTTTTAGAAGTTCTGTTTCTTTTTGTGCATTTTTGATGGATGCTGTTTTAAATTTTGTGCTGCACATAGAAAGTATGAAAGCCATAATAAATAACTCCTCCATTTAAAACAAGAGTCCTTCGTATAATATTAATGGTTACTTTCCTTGTATTACTCCCCCCTCCCCTCCCAGATGATTCACAAAGAAAGCAATATGAAGAATGGCTTCAAGAAACACAACAACTTCTTCAAATGCAACAGAAATACCTTGAAGAGCAAATCGGAGCACACAGAAAATCAAAAAAAGCGCTCTCAGCAAAACAACGCACTGCCAAAAAAGCCGGCCGTGAATTCCCAGAAGAAGATGCAGAACAGCTTAAGCATGTTACTGAGCAGCAGAGTATGGTCCAAAAACAGCTAGAACAGGTAACAGTTTTGGGGGGGAAATAACAGGACAGCATCTTTTCTGTTTAATATTAAGGTATAACACTGTAAGATTATTTGTGTCTTTAAATCCGCTAGCTATGCATTGTAACTCGGGCTGTCAAATGGTTAAAAAAATTATTCATGATTAATTGCAAGATTAAAGATATTAATTTCAATTAATCGCAGTTTTAATCACACTGTTAATAATAAAATACCAATTTAAATTTATTATAAATATTTTTGGATTTTTTTCTACATTTTCAAATATATTCATTTCAATTACAATGCAGAATGCACAGTGTACAGTGCTCACTTTATATTATTTTTTATTACAAATATTCGCACTGTAAAAAAAGATAAACAAAAGATAGTGAAATCTACAAGTCAAAGCACGAAGGGGCATAACATTTAGCATCTCTGGCATGTAAATACTTTGCAATGCCAGCCACAAGAGAGCCATGCGAACGCTGTTCTCACTTTCAGGTGATCTAAATAAGTAGCGGGCAGCATTATCTCCCGTAAATGTAAACAGACGCGTTTGTCTTAGCGATGGACTGAACGAGAAGTAGGACTGAAGGCTCTACAGTTTTACATTGTTTTGTTTTTGAGTGCAGTTATGTAACCAAAAAAAATTATTCATTTGTAAGTTGCACTTTCATGGTAAAGAAATTAAACTCTAATACTTGTATGAGGTGAATTGAAAAATACTATTTCTTTTGTTTACCTTTTTACAGTGCAAATATTTGCAATAAAAAATAATATAAAGTGAGCACTGTACACTTTGTATTCTGTATTATAATTGAAATCAATATATTTGAAAATGTAGAAAAACATTCAAATATTTATAATACATTTAAATTGGTACTCTATTATTGTTTAACAGTGTGATTAAAACTGCACTTAATCATGATTAATTTTTCTTAATCGAGTTAATTTGTTTTGAGTTAATTGCTTGAGTTAACTGTGATTAATTGACAGCCCTAATTGTAACTATTAAACACAGTGCAATTCATGTAAAAAACAAACAACAAAACCCCTCATGTTTCACATGAGTAATGTCAGTTCTGAGATTCAGTTTCTCAGCATTACTGGAACTACAAGAGAAAAAACTACAGTAGCAGTGGGAAAAAACCTGTTTTAAGAGTTTGGGAAGAGAGAGACTGGGTGGCAGCAGTGTGAAGGAAAGCCAGAATCTATTCAGATGCACTGTCAATTATATAAAAATAGGAACAACTTGAAATACAGGGCTATATTTCCACTGAAGGAATTCATCGACTAAGGGTTTTCTCTCTGATTTTATCATATCACCAGATCCACTTGGTAGCATTCTACCTTTGTAATAGCGAGTGATGTGTCATTTATTTTATATTTTTCTGTTCAAATGCCTTTTTTTATTACAGTTGAATTTCGTATTTTTGTATGATCTTTCTTTATTTTGTGAAAAACAAGACATTCATAGTGAATACTAGGAGAGAGCTGATCAGGTTACATGGTCACTATATAAAATAGTCACCGTTCAGAAGAAATCTTGTACTAGAGCTGTGCTGAGTGCAGTTTAGGAGCCTCTTCCTCATTCTTTAGAATTTAAGCGCAGGGTGTCAAATTCATTTGGAGGAGAGGGGTGCATTCCGTGTTGAATTATGATCTGTGGGCCGGGATATAATTTAAAGACTTGATGGTACCCTCAGTCCACAGCAGCTATTCCACTGATGTCAGTGGGAGGTTTGCACAGAGATTAAGGGAACAGTGAATTCTTTCTGAAGTAACTAAGCTTTATTTATTATTTGTATAGCAGTCACCCTCATTCACTAAGAAAATATGGTCCACTTTAGACCACTGCTACTTCTGCCTTTTGTTTCTCTTTTTTCCTCATCACTTTCTCTCTGTTTCTCTCCCTTCCCTCTGTCTTTCATTTCTGTTCTACCCTCAGTATCTCCTTCCCTGCAACAACTCCCAAATCTCATCCCTTTTATATGCTGAAATGATTAGCAGTGAAATAGTTAATTTTGTCACAGAAGTGTCATCATTGGGCTTTAGCGTTGACATTCCCATGAGATTAATGCGGAGAGAGGAGGTCACAGCTTTTAGTCATTGTTTCAGTCTGGCTGCAGACTAGGGCAGATATCATAACATCAGTTTACCTCTGCTCATGTTTGAAAAGTAATCTCTGCAGCCAGGAGGGTTAGAAACTGACTTTTTTTTTAAAAAAGTGAAGGATTCTGCAATGTGTGAGGCCATCATGCAAGTCATAGAACTACATCATGTCACTGGATCCAGCCCACAAACTGGCCTAGGTCCTGATTCATCAAAGCACTTAAATTTGTGCGCAACTTTCATCACATTTTTAAGTCCCATTGAAGTCAATGGGGTTAAAGTTAAGCATGTATTTTTAATTGCTGCAGTGAACTGAGGCCTTATGTCTTTGGCCAGCAGGGTTGGGCACAGTATTCTGCAATATCCTTACAATGGATCTCCGTTCATGAAGTATAGAATGTTTGTTGCCTTTTCTTTCCAATTTGTCGAAAGAGCATTTTCGTAGAAGGGGCTTGGTGCAATTCTGTAGAGACAGATGTGATGGGAAGATGAAGCAACCAGATATAATTTAATTTAATTTTTTTATTAACGATAGATCACAGATGGAGGAAACACTTTTTCATACATTACCGGTAATAATGCATTGCACATACGCTACTTCATTCTAAACTTCTATTACAGTTGCTAGCCATGATATTAATGATAGATAATTGTAGCCTGTTAGTTAAGGGTGTTTTATTTTTCTATTATTTTATAAACCTATATTGCATTTGATGCCGGAAGGTGTCAGGCTCCCTCAACTCCCTTTGAAGTCAGTGATGTCCTGAACGAGGGCCTGAAAGTTGAAGGGTGCTTAGCTGGCTCCAGGATCGAACCCCAGTCCCTATTGCCATTGCAATCAAGCTTCCATTGTACATTTAATACCAAGGGTATATCTCTGTATAGCATGCACTTCAGGTTCTCTAGAGCTTTTTTAAAATAGCCTTTACTTTAAATGTTTTTTTCACATAAATACAAACAATAGTAACAAATAAAACAAAAGTCACTATATGGCAAATGGCAGTAATATATATTTTTATGCATAATTTATTTCTTATTTACCTATATATTGCAAGTTCTCTGCAGTTTTGAATAGCACTGCATAATGAAACTATAGTTTAAAGATCACCGCTGCTTCTGAAATATTGTCCCTTATTTTGGTTCTTTGTGGTTGTATGTTGTGTAATTGGTTAATAGTATGGAAACTGGCATTGGGAAGGACTGCACTCTTTTTGGTTAGATGATGGATGTTGGACATGAAATGAGTATGTAAATAAGCTTAATGTGTTCCAGTGCTAATCTTGGACAAGACTCATTTTCCAATAAAATAATTTCAATGTAGTATATCCTGTATATTTTAGGTCTATTATATATTAAGTAGAACCTTGTAGAGATGAGTAATGACTTGTCTAAATTTCAGATTCGAAAACAGCAAAAGGAACATGCAGAGCTCATTGAGGAATATCGAATCAAGCAGCAGCAGCAGTGTGGGATAACACCACATTCTATAATGCCAGGAGTCCAGGCTCAGCCACCTATGGTTCCAGGAGGAACACCACCAGCAATGAATCAGCAGAACTTCCCCATGGTAGCACAACAACTCCAGCATCAGCAGCACACAGTTGTAATTCCTGGGCAGTCCAACCCAGCCAGAATGCCAAATTTACCTGGGTGGCAACCTGCAACTGCTCCTCCAAATCACCTCCCCCTCAATACTCCAAGGATGCAGCCTCCAATGACACAGTTGCCAATGAATCCTGGCACACCAACTCCAGTGCCAGGTTCCAATGCGAATGCACAGTCAGGACCACCACCAAGGGTTGAATTTGATGATAATAACCCATTTAGTGAAAGTTTTCAAGAGCGGGAACGAAAGGAGCGTTTACGAGAGCAGCAGGAACGGCAACGAATACAGCTTATGCAGGAGGTGGACCGACAGAGGGCTTTGCAGCAGAGGATGGAAATGGAACAACATGGCATGATAGGGTCAGAATTAAATAACAGAGCTTCCTTGTCTCAGATACCTTTCTTTAACTCTGACCTACCCTGTGATTTCATGCCGCCTCCACGACCCCTTCAGCAATCTCCACAGCATCAACAGCAGCAAATGGGGCAAGTTTTGCAACAAGGCCCTGTGAACTCACCACCTGCAGTAAATTTTATGCAAAGCAATGAGCGAAGACCACTGGGGCCTGCCCCTTTTGGGCCTGAACCACCTTCAATTCCTGGTGGATCCCCTAACTTCCATTCTGTAAAACAATCCCATGGGAGTATCTCTGGGACCAGCTTCACACAGAACCAAATAAGGCCTCCATTTGTGCCTGGTATACCTGCAGGACCTCCAGCAGCTGGTAGTGGTCCTTCATGTGGCCAAGACACCAGCACGCCCCATGCACCAAATTTCCCTGGGTCAAGTCAGTCTCTCATTCAGCTGTATTCTGATATAATTCCAGAAGAGAAAGGAAAAAAGAAAAGGACACGAAAAAAGAAAAAGGATGATGATGCTGAGTCAATAAAAGCCCCATCAACTCCACATTCAGATATAACTGCACCCCCAACTCCAGCTGTTTCAGATTCTACCTCTACCCCAACAGTCAGCACACCCAGTGAACTTACTCATCATCAGGATGAATCAGCGGAGCCAACAGGCTCATCAACAACAAATGCTGTGGAGAACCCGCCTTCCTTAGATCTGGAATGTAAGCATTCCAATAGTGGTTTGCTCCAAAAGAAATTGCCTCAGAAATCTAGTGTAAATCCTGAAACTGAAAAGAGCAAGTCAGATGTGCCTGCCAGCATTCAGGAAATTAAACTGGAAAAAGCAGAATCTGATCAATGTTCTGGTCAAGCTGAGCCTAAAACAGAGAATCAAAGTGGTATTACGATAGAAGACGACAAGGCCACACTGCACCCTGCCTCTTCAGCACAGAGTCCAGCACAATCAACCAGCACCCCAGCAGCAAAAGGGGAGTCAGGGAATGAACTGCTGAAACACTTGCTTAAAAATAAAAAATCATCCTCTCTTGTAAATCAGAAATCAGAGAACAGCTGCCGATCAGAAGAAGAAAGTGCTGGGGACAACAAACTAGTGGAGAAACAGAACCCAGCTGAAGGAATGGTAAGGTGGTTGTTTTTGAAATGCATGTCAGCATGTAAAGGGCTAGATGGTGACATTACAATTTAGTGCCAAGCAGGGGGCAGCAAGTTGCGATGCCTCTGGAGCAGCCCCATTGCAGGGAAGGGGAGAATCCCCAAATCACTAATCTCCATCCCAATCTCCCTGCTACTCTGAAGCATGGGTAAACTGTGCTGGATGTAAACCTGTTGCAGTGTGTGCTCTGCAGTATGGCACGCAGGTGTGCCAACAGGGGAAGAGGTGGAATCAAGGCTCTGCCCCGCTGAGCAAGGGTGGGACGTTAGCAGCTCATAGATTCCAAAGCCAGAATGGTCCATTGTGATCACCTAGTCTGACCTCCTGTATAACACAGGCCTAGAACTTCCCTAAAATAATTCCTAGATCTGATCTTTTGGAAAAATATCCCACCTTGATTTAAAAAATGTCTGTGATGGAGAATCCACCATGACTATTGGTAAATAGTTCCAATGGTTAATTACTCTCCCAGTAAAAAATATACGCTTATTTCCTATCTGAATTTGTTTATCTTCAACTTCCAGCCATTGGATCATGTTATACCTTTCTCTGCTAGACTGAAGAGCCCATTATTAATTATTTGTTCCCATGTAGGTACTTACAGATGGTAATCAAGTTACTTCTTGACCTTCTCTTTGTTAAACTAAATTGATTGAGCTCCTTGAATCTTTCACTATAAGACAGGTTTTCTAATCCTTTAATCATTCTCGTGTCTCTTCTCTGAACCCTCTTGAATTGTGAACAAAGGAACTGGAAATGGTATTCCAGCAGTGGTTGCACCAGTGCCAAATAGAGAGGAAAATAATCTCTCTAATCCGATTTCAGATTCCCCTATTTTATGCATCCAAGGATGGCATTAGCCCTTTTGGCCACAGCATTGCACTGGGAACTCCTGTTCAGCTGGTTATCCACCACAGCCCCCAAGTCGTTTTCAGAGTCACTGAGTCCCCAAATACAGAACAGCAATATTTATTGATCGCTCTGCCTCTTCTGTATTATTACTGATAAGTCTACCATTTCCATCTAGTAATGGACGAGTACCATTGTTAGGATTCTTTTTATTTCTAGTATTCTTAAGAAACTCTTCCTTATTGTCCTTAACTCTGCAGAGGTAGCACAGGTGCAAAGGAGAAAGGGCACCTTATCCCCACCCTCTCCCGACTCACTTGTGCACAGGACAGACCACAATCTGCCCCTAAGTAAATCAGCCACTTCAGAAGGACTAATGTTTAATATAACATAATAGTTCAGCCTGTTCACAAAGGAATATCCCTAAAAATAATACAAAGGTTAATTTGTTTTTCTATAGACAATCATTATTTTAAAACTTGCACATTTCTAATGTTTACCATGAGTTTATGCTTCAGTTTAAATTCTGTTTTTTCATGTCAGCAGAACTATATATCAGTACATTTCTGTACTCAATGTTTCAAAGATCAACTACCTCCACTTTTTGACCATTTTCTAAACATTCGTACTCAAAAGATCTGGCAATATAGGAGAGGGGGGAAATTATTCCAAACCTCCTAATTGTGTATCCCTATGCACTTTTCATTTGTCAGTAACACCCACTTGTTTCCTATCTTAAATTAGGCCTGGGTGCGGCTTCAGTGGGGCTCTGCACAGACAAGGGACTTGTTCATGTGTATGAGCCTGCAGATTTGGGCCTTAACTTGCAAACTCTTCAAGTCAGGGACTATCTTTTCCTATAGATTTGTACCGCACCTACCCCAATGGTACCCTAATCCAGTTTGAGGCCTCTGGCATCTCTGTAAATAATAATGTTTATTATTTAGGGTCTTTCCTTTTTGTGAGCTAAATAAGCACATCTTCTGCTGAATGAATGACCAGGCTGACAGCTAAGGTGTTTATAGCAAGTAAACTGAGAAGACAATACTGGCATTAGTGGTTATTAGCCCAGGATAGTGATATTGCCTAATTACTAGAATGCAACCTCAAACTTTTAGTATTGTACATTTTAAATGTAATATTCACATTTTAATTTCAGTAAAGGGAAAAAATAATTTTCCTATTTCTCATGAAAGGTTAATTGCCTTAAAATATATATAAATCCTTTTGGGCCCTCCTTTTCCACTCTAGTCATCCACCGTCTCTCCCTCCTCACTTTTCTCTCTCTCACAGTGCTGGCTATTTAAAAAAAAAAAATCTTTAACAAATGTCTTTACCGACAGTTGCCACTCTCCCTGCAATATGGCAGTATTTTCTTATACAGTAACTCCTTACTTAACGTTGTTTCAATGTTACGTCCCTGCTCAATTAGGGAACATGCTCATTTAAAGTTGTGCAATGCTCCCTTATAACGTTGTTTGGCTGCCTGCTTGTAAGAAGAGCAGCAACTTTACAAGGGAGTATTGCACAAGTTCCGCTTCTCCATCTCCTCCCCCTCCCTCCCAGTGCTTCCTCCACCGCCAAACAGCTGTTTAGTGGCGCTTAGGATTTTCTGGGAGGGAGAGGGAAGAGTGGAGACGTGGGGCTTCTCCGCTCCTTCCTCTCCCTCCCAGCACTTGGTGCTTAAGACTTTCTGGGAGGGAGGGTCTGGAGTGGGGAAGCCCTGTGTCTCCACTCCTCCCCCTCCCTCCCAGAAAGTCCTAAGCACCGCCAAACAGCTGTTTGGCAGCACTTAGGACTTTTGGGGGGGAGGGATGTGGCGTGCTCCAGAGAGGAGGTGGAGTGGGGGAGGGAAGAGGTGGGCCTGGAGTGGAGCATGGACAGGAAGAGGCGGGCCTAGAGCATTCCCGGCAAAATCCGAGCCTGTTCTCCGGGGAAGCTGCTGCTTCTGCTGCAAAGGTGCTTCCTAGCGTCCTTGCCTGCAGTGGGCTGTGCCTGTGTGGGGTAAGCCAGGTGCACTTCCCAACCACAGTACTGTACAGTATACAGTATAATGCCTTTTGTCTGCACCAAAAACATTTCCTTGGAACCTAACCCCCCGCATTTACATTAAATCTTATGGGACAGTTAGATTCGTTTAACATTGTTTCACTTAAAATTGCATTTTTCAGGAACTTAACTACAACGTTAAGGGAGGAGTTACTATATTTGGCATAGGAACTAACTGCTGTATCTTGGATAAAGGACTTTGACAATTGCTGACTTTTTAATAATAACTGCTATGTTAATTGATACAGTCCCATTTCCTCGCCCTCATTATTAGTGAGCAAAGCTCATCTCTCTACAGTAACTTTGATATTTATTGGTTTACATTGTGTTACAAACTGAATTGACAGAGGCTGGGTACTTCAGATAAATTTTTTTAATTATATATGTAAACACATGTCTGACCGGAAAAGACAAGAATCAAAAGGTGTTCCCCTTCATCCGTTTTCCAGCTCTATTTTCTTTGCCTTTTGGTAATTTTTTTTCTACTTTTAAGTAAATTTTATATTTTTTCAGGTTTAGTTGAAGAATAGTCAGAAGCTGAGGCGACTGTCTTTGCAGTTGGCAAGAAGTTAAAAAATTTGAATACAAGAACCAATCAGAGCCGAAGGATTATTATAGCCAATCAGAGAAGAGATATTTGCATATTCATAGTATGATTGACAAATAATTGTACAATTAATATGGAAATCCCTTTACTCTTGCTAAAATTGACTGTCAGTCAATCAGAGTACAGATATTCACATAGTTATGGAAATTAGACATGCAAGACTCAATCAGAATGCAGGGAAATGTATAACTTGGGAAAATCTACAATTACGCATCAGAGAACATATGGTATGCCTGCACTCTAGCTGAGGCAATTCTATTTCTAAGTAATATTTCTAGAGCTAATAGTTTTACTAGTATGGGGGGGAAACAGTAATTCATCATGTTAACGACTGTTGGATAATTTAATTATTAAAAAAGGGTAGAGGTAGGAAAACTGTTGGGGAGGGAAATTAGGATCTGCTCACAGCTTATCACTTTATTGTTAGCATTTCTGTTTTTTTGTTGTCATCCTAGTTTTCTCCTCCAATTGTGTTATGACTCCATGAAATCTCAACACAGCTTGGAAGCAAAATAAAGTCGTCTCGGAGTGAATGAAATCTGATAAAAATAAATGGAAGTGGGTGGTGAAGGGTTGGTAGTATAAGCAGATGTTAGGGATCCATCTTTAAAGATATACTGAAGGAGTGATTTGGGGTTTCCCTGATGGAAAGTATGATTACAGCACATTAGATCAATAATTGAAATATTTAATATTTTAGTCTTTCTTTTTACTTCACCCTGTCACTTGCACCATTAAATCCTATGCTAATTGTTTTACACAGTTATCTCTTTATATGAAGAATTGCATTAAAGGTATTATGAACTTTTTTTTTTTTTGGTACTCTCAGTACAAAGCAAAATTGTTAGTTTTAGCCATAAATCCACATTTGGCTCAACCAGGAATATATTTACATTAAGTGAACCTTTGTTCTTGAAGCCAGTTCTTTTATTATGCCCTAGTGCAGGGGTTGGCAACCTTTCAGAAGTGGTGTGCCGAGTCTTCATTTATTCACTCTGATTTAAGATTTTGCGTGCCAGTAATACATTTTAACATTTTTAGGTGGTCTCTTTCTATAGGTCTATAATATATAACTAAACTATTGTTGTAAAGTAAAGTAAATACATTTTTAAAAATGTTTAAGAAGTTTAATTTAAAATTAAATTAAAATGCAGAGCCCCCCAGGTGGCCAGGACCCGGGCAGTGTGAGTGCCACAGCAAATCAGCTCGCGTGCCGCCTTTGGCACACGTGCCATAGGTTGCCTACCACTGCCCTAGTGAATACCCCTAATTAAGGGTATAAGTTTTAGCAAACATTCAGAAGACGCTTCTGGTCTATAATTTTTAAGGACATTTGCAGGCATCAGTGGAGTTAATGATAGTTCATGTATTGTATTGTGGACTCAAAAACAGCAGTTACAATTGTCAGTGGGGTGGCAAAGTGAACAAAGTATAAACTACAGGATGTTGTCTTCTGTCAGATGTACTGTATCACTTAGTATAGTGCACAGGAAATTTGGGGATTAAACTTTAAAGTGTCAGATATTTTCTTTAATCATCATTTATTAGAAATATACAACAAAACTTGTTATAAAAATAATGTGAAATTAACATGGATCTGAACAAATGCATCCCATGTTGCTTAACTTCCTTTTTCCATCAGCCAACTGTGGGGAATCAAATGCAAGGTTCATTTGGATGTGGTAACAGCCAGCTTCAGAGAACAGATATAGGACATGAAATAAAGAAACAACGAAATAAACGAACTCAGAGGACTGGAGAGAAGGCAGCCCCTCGGTCTAAGAAAAGAAAAAAAGAAGAGGAGGAAAAACAGGCTCTTTATCCTAACACAGATACATTTATCCAACTAAAACAGGTGAGTGTTTAGAGAATGTACAGTCCATCAGGAGTAGCTTTAAGAGAATGGATTCAGAGTGGGGGGAAAAATAAATTTACAATTATGCTGAGTTTGGAGTCGACCTGGGTGGAGAATAGTAATTCCATTTCATAGAGGATTTTCAAAAAAAAATTCATTCAGACTTAGAACAAAACCCACAAATTTCAAAATAATCCATAAAATCTGGAAAAAAAAATGTTTAAAAAAATCAAAAGGTTTCTTTTCAATAATTTCAAAATGAAATTCTGCCAGACCAGGAGCCCACAAGCCCTGAGAATTGTTTTGATTTTGATGAATCCGTGTTTTCCCACTGGAACAACAGTCCCTTGGAAATTTTCTGAACAGCTAAGATTTTGAGCCTTTTATGATGTGATTGTCACATTACCCCGATATTAAAACCCTCCCCCCACCTTGACTTTAAATATATGAACTTTCTTACTGTAGTAATAATAATAATAATCATCAATAATACCAAACTCTTCTGTAGCAGTTTTCATCCATAGATCTCAAAGCGCTTTACAAAGACGGTTAGGATGGGGAACTGAGGCACAGGGAAGGCTATGCTTAACAAAACATGCAAGCAATTTTCCTCTGCTTGTATATAGTGGTTGGCATTTAAAAGTCAATATTTAACATACAGTGTTATCTGAGATTTTGCTCCAGTTTACCAAAGCACTTTAGTACATGCTTAAAGTTAAAGCTAACCTATTATTTGTACTTAATTCTGATTGAAGTCAATGGGACTTAAGGATGTGTTTAAAATTAAGGATGTGCATTAATCCTTTGCCAAATTGCAACCTTATTTCCTATTCTAATAAGTATAAGGAAATACTGGTGTGTTTCAGAGACTATTTGACTTTTTAGAGGTAACCACTCTACTGATATTACTGGAAACTTTTCTGTCCAGTTAGCATTTATTTGGTGTATTCATCTCTATCCATTTTTTTTCTATAGCAACTCTCTCTGCTACCTCTAATGGAACCAATAATTGGAGTGAGCTTTGCACATTTTCTCCCCTATGGCAGTGGCCAGCTAAATGGTGGAAATCGACTTTTGGGAAGTTTTGGTAGTGCTACACTTGATGGGGTTTCTGATTACTATTCCCAACTGATCTATAAGGTATGTTTTTCCATCTAGATTTCCCATGTCTATTCTCTAGTTTAAAAAAAAAAAAAACAACAACACAAGGTAAAGGGGATTATTTGCATTAATGATCTCTTTGGAGTCTCTCCTGCACAGCTAAAAAAGAGACATTTGCTATTGCTAGACTGTATATCGCATTCAACTGTGAAGTATTCATTGTTTTGCTCTACAAAACATGGAATCAAATAATAGAAACCGTGTTGTAAACAAATTTAAAAAATACAAGCACTGCATTTGCAAACTGATGCTAATTGGTGAAAATTGTAATTAAAGCTTTCTGGAGCAGAAAAGGCTGAATTTCCAGTGCTTTACAAAGTAATTGAGCGCAGCAAAGCATTTCTTAATGAGAATTAGTTGGGAAATAGACCTTCATCATTTGTCCACTACTCCCTGATTAAGGACTTAAAAACTGTGAACAAAATAATCTGTTTGTTGCAGGTCTAATAGCCCACAGAATTTAAAACTCAGGCTCTTGGAGGGCTGAAAGGCAATATAGAGAGAATAGGAAGAATGTCAACAGACAGAGGACCAGATTTGACACACAGTTACTCTAGCATAAAACTGGAATGACTCTATGAAGACCATCTGAGATATTCCAGTTTTACACCAGAGTTACTGAGCTAAGAATCTGGTCAAGCAAGGGTAGCTGCTGAACTTGGAAACCAATAATGAAGTTTCATGTCTATAGATGCTGTTCCAGAAAGGCCAAATCCTGGAGTCTTCACTCAGTTTTTCCTTAGACAAAACTCTCAGAATGTTTGTTAAGAGTTATGTCTAAGTGGTTTAGGAATCTATCACTCCCCTACAATAATATCATTAAATTCGTGCCAGACACTACAAAGTGTGTTGTGTCTTTGTATACTAGGTAGTTTTGTAGCAGGTGTTTTCATCTATTTTCCTCTGTATTTGGGAAGTAAATATTAATTTTTATGTATTCGGTGCTGCCTCTGTGTGTTTAAAACCTACAAGTATTTACTCTTACTGGAATTGTGCATCTGTGTTGCCTTTACCTGTCGAAAACTAATTTTAAAATCCTTTGGTCTCATGCAGCAGAATAATCTGAGTAATCCTCCAACACCCCCAGCCTCTCTCCCTCCAACACCACCACCAGTGGCTTGTCAAAAGATGGTGAATGGATTTGCAACTACTGAGGAACTTGCTGGAAAGGCTGGAATGCTGGGCGGACATGATGGTAAGCTTAAAAGATGTATCATGTTGGTACTGAAGTATGAAATGTATACTGCACCTTATTTGATGTAGTTTGGCTTTATTGTATACAAATGAACATGAGACTCCTCTGTCTGGAAGGTTGTAATTGATTCTATCCAACTTTATTTTACAGCAATGTATGTGCAATTATGCATATTACGTACAAAAACTATGTTGCGAGCACTATCAGTGTCCAGTTAAACACTCAAAAGGCAGGAAAAAACAAAGTGAAAGTTGCATGCATAATGTAGATGACAAGACAATTTTAAAGCTTACTTAGCTGCATGGGCTTTCACAAAGCAGCCTTCCATAGTTGTACACTCAGCAAACTTTTGAACATGCTTAGTAAACGTTGGTCAAATCAGAATCCGTTTTCTATTAATAAGACTTTGCATTGCCCTCCTGAGGACTTTTCATGACAAAATCCATCTTTCAAATTTTAGCCACTGGGTGCTGCAAAAGAAGAAGGGGGGGGGGGAAGCTTAAAGGTTTTTATAATGGGGAAAAATATATTTTTATTTCCTCTAAGTCAAAAATTGCAGAACCAATTATGCTCCAATTTTCAAAAGTTTTACCTACACACAGAATCCATCAATTAATAATTGAAACATGAAAAATGAAAATTTTGGAGTTATGAGTGACTGAAAATAGAGTTAAAAACTGGTGTACAACCTTAATTATATTAGAGTGCAGCCAGCACCCTCTTACAGTGTGTATCAGTAGGTAGAGAGAGACATATGCATGCTTGGTTGTGCGGTGTTTTTCTGTTTCAGTTACGAAAGCGCTTGGGCCAAAACAGTTCCAGTTACCTTTCAGACCACAGGATGATTTGTTAGCAAGAGCTATGGCTCAGGGCCCTAAAACTGTGGATGTTCCTGCTTCACTTCCAACACCACCCCATAACAATCAGGAAGAATTAAGGTAGGTTTTTTCCCCCTAAATACTAAGTTTACTTGTTTTGGCCCAGATCCTTCCACCCTGTGGAAGCCCAAATAAACTGGAGATCCATTGGGGTTTTAGAGAAGGGAGTGCACCCTCCCCCAACCACACCAGCATGAGAAGAAAATGGCATTATTTGTGCTAAGTATCAATCAGTATTCCCTAGCTGAGATTTCTGTGCCACTAAAAGGAAGACTTCTGCTGTTGCTAGACTGTATGTCCTATTCAACTGTCAAATATTCATTATTTTGCTCTACCGAAATGGAAACAAGTTATAGAAACTAATCTGGTTCGCACAGCGGCACAGGGTTGTTTTGGGCAGTGGATCCACAAAGTCATAAATCCCACTGTTCATGTCCACACGCTACTGCCAAAAACTCCCCTGCCTTGTAGGCACAGATTGAATCATTGTGGAGAGGTGCTCCATGGTGCACAGCAGAACTCTCTGCAAAGACTTCCCTCCCTCTCTTTCTCGAGCTTATTGGAAGCACAGCAAGTTTGAGGAACTACAGCCATTGGATGTATATCAGAGGATGGTCCAGTGATTAGTTCACTAGCCTGGGACTTGGGAGACCTGGATTCAGTTCCCTGCTCCACCACAGACTTTTTGTGTGACCTTGGAGAAATCACTTAATCTGTCTTTCCATCACATCCCCATCTTTGTAATGGGGATAATAATACTCACCTGCCTTACAGGAGTGCTTTAGGATGAGTGCAGATTAAAGATTCATGGCACTATGGTCATGAAGGCCTGGATGGATGGATGGATGGATGGATGGATGGATGGATGGATTTTATAAATCCAGTAGGGGAAGGCTGTGAGCCATTCAATATGACATGTATTTTGAACACATTCTAGAAGTTTAAATTTATGGTAAGCTCAAGCAGTTTGCACCCAAGTGTGTGGCCATTGAACCTTGTGAAATCCTTTCTCATGGACCTGTGAAAAATGGGATAGTTAACATCTACTAGATGTTCAAGAGCAGAATAGTGGCTTTATCATCTACAGCAAATCTGCTGAGTTAAAAGATCTCAGACTGTAGATCATCATTGCCTTTAGTTTGGGAGGGAAGAGGCTAATTAAAAACAAGTCTGGCTAATTTTATCTTGAAGTAAGGTGAGATGCCACAAAAATTGTTGCCAGCAACCAAAAATCCACCCACTTCCTTCACTTAGTTTTTGTACAAGGCATTTTCAAAAGCTGTAGTTTGTTTTTCCTCCCAGGGTTCAAGATCACTGTGATGACCGGGACACTCCTGACAGCTTTGTTCCCTCTTCTTCTCCTGAAAGTGTTGTGGGAATGGAAGTAAGTAGGTATCCAGATTTGTCTCTGGTAAAGGAAGAGAGCCCAGAGCCTGTACCATCCCCCATCATTCCAATCCTACCCAGCAGTACTGGAAAAGGTAAGAGGAATATGGGTTATGTACTTATTGCTAGTTTCTATCCATTCAAAATCATGCAGCTTAATTTAATACATATTTTATTTCATTTTTAAGGTTCAGAAGCAAAAAGGAATTATGTAAAATCAGAACATAGTTCAGGAACTTTACCTGGTTCTGGCTTCTTTGGCTCTCAGCTTGGGCCATCCCAAAATGGTCTGAAATCTGGCCTTATATCTGTAGCAATTACTTTACATCCCACAGCTGCAGAGGTAAGGGAAATAAACTTCAATGATTTATATGTGACCTCTAGCATGGTGTTTATGTAGCATATTATATAAATAATGACTATTCAGTTTAATTTGCATGTGAGCTACTATAGTACGGCACTCTTGTAATCTGGTAATTAATATCCTGGCCATTTACTTCCTCTAATTGATAAAAACAGAGATTTATTTTTATTGTTTTAGAATATTAGTAGCGTTGTGGCTGCGTTTTCCAATCTTCTGCACGTCAGAATTCCCAACAGTTACGAAGTTAGTAATGCCCCAGATGTTCCATCCTCCATGGGAGTGTTAAACAGTCACAGAATGAATCCGGCTATGGAATACAGACAGCACTTATTACTTCATGGTCCTCAGGCAGGATCCATGGGCCCTACCAGACTAATAGGGTCTTATGGCCTGAAGCAACCTAATGTGACATTTCCTCCAAACAGCAATGGTGAGTTAGTTTATATCTAGTTCTTGTCATTATTAGTTTTTCATTTTTAATCATGCTGGTATTGGAGAATTTTCAGTCCTATAAACTCAAACTCTAGAATTAACTAGTTGATTCTTGTTTTTAATAATACTGTCTCTTATACAATCAGCACACATGTACCTGTGCACTATGTTCCTGATGTTCTCCGAGACTAATGGAAATCAGAGATAGAAAACACCTATGATATTATCTTGTCCATCTCGCTGCCAATGTGGGATTGTTTCCAACAGTACATGGTATTCTCACGTTTTCTGTCCTGTCTAATTTTAAATTACTCTAATGATTTGTCTTTCACCACTTTGGGAGATTATTCATCCTTTGAAAAATTTGTACATAGACATTTAAATATATTAATACTCCTATTTTAGTCTGATTTATTTATTCAACTCATATTATATAATCTCTTTTTGCCTTATTATTCAAACCAGAACTACAAAAGATTTTTGTCTAATTTAAGAAAAACTCCCCATCTGTATTTATCTTAAAGCTTGCCTAATGCCCTGTCTAGGAGGAGGGAGTCCTACTATTAACCTGCCGAAGAATACTGCCATTTCAACACGCACTTCATTCAGGAGTGTCTTGACTATTGTCTAACAGATTTGTTGGGGTTTTTTTAGGTCTAGCCGGTTATAAAGATCACAATCAAAATATTGCAGAAGGCTCGGCACTGAGACCTCAGTGGTGTTCTCATTGTAAAGTGGTAGTTCTTGGTAGTGGAGTGCGGAAATCGTTCAAAGATCTGTCTTTCCTTAAACAGGTACTGTCGTGGAAAGTGATATTTATTTATTTTTTATCGTTATTTTCAGTCAGCAAATGAAACCAGCAAACAATTTCAGAAATACTGCTTATATAAATATTTCAGTCAGTTTTCTTAAATAGGTTTCAGTGTATAATCAGGGACAGCTATTTAAATGTTGCTACCATGATATATCACTTTTAGGGGACTTAAAAAATTCAGCAGAGCTCTCTTTCCAAGGTACTAACTTTGGGCTGTTATCTGGCACTATTGGGAGAGTGACATCTTTTCAAGCAGAAGGGAGTTAATCACATTTAAATCTTGTTTTTGTATATTTTCTGCTGTTTCTTTCTTGTGGTAGGGGGGGAAAAACCAAATGTCCCTGCTGGATCTCCATTCCTGTATGCAAATATTAAAATATTTAGACCAGTATGAATTCTGGAAAAACATGCATCTGGCCTGCAACAAAAATACCATCACCATTTATCTAAATAATGAAATCATATGATTGCTATGTAAGAGAGCTGTATAGTCAAACCTATACATAAAGTGCATGAGCACCCATGCAAAACACCCAGGATCAGATTTTTTTACAGAATGTAGGTGCCTAACTCCCATTGACTTCAGTGGGAGTTAGGCATCTAAATACATTAAAAATCTGGGCATGAATCCACAGCAACATTTTACAGATCACCACTTGATAATAAAGTTGTGTGATCTATCTTTGACCAGCCTGAAACAGGAAGAGCTTTTGTGGTTCAAAGATTAAAAAAAAAAATGGCCTGTAGACATACTCTCTAAGTAAAATTCACATGAGAATACAATAGAGGATTCTTTGCATTGATTCTAATGCACTTCTGTTGGTGGCATAAGATGCTGAAGAGTAAGGCCACTGATGGTTTTAACTTTAAATTTCCATAGTTTAATATATGTATTACAGTAGTGCCCAGAGGCCTGACCAGAATTCTGCCCCCCCCTCCCCCCCACCCACACACACACCCATGCTAAGTACTCTTCAAAAGGGAGTTAAGTATCAGAGGGGTAGCTGTGTTAGTCTGGATTTGTAAAAAGCAACAGAGAGTCCTGTGGCACCTTTAAGACTAACAGCTGTATTGTAGCATAAGCTTTCGTGGGTGAATACCCGCATGCGTCTGACGAAGTGGGTATTCACCCACGAAAGCTTATGCTCCAATACATCTTGTCCCAAAGAGATGAAGATTGGTGTAACAAAAATGAGAATTTTATAAATTCTATTCCCTGGAATGGGCTCATAACAATCTTTGGCTTTGATTCCCAGGATTCCCGAGAGATCTCCGATAGAGTGGAAGAGGATGTTGTATTTTGTAGCAACAACTGCTTTGTTCTTTATTCAGCAGCTGTGCAAGCAAAAAACTCAGAGAGCAAGGTAAGTACCAAGCTTTGTGTCACATCCTAATTAGCAGCAATTATTGCTGCTACTTCTCTAATAAAATAGAAAAATTGCTTAAGTAAAGATCTTAGGCCAAGGGTTCTTGGCATACTTAGCATTTATAATACCATAAACTGTTATGTTTTAATGGCATTTAAGTACGAGTCCATGCTAAAATAGGATATTGGAATTCTGAAGCAGCAAGGGATCAGGAATTAAAATCAAAATCCATATTTACAGAAAATTAAACCTAGGAGAAATGCATGGCAGAGCATTAGCCGTCTTTTCCTGACAGAGCTTTAGGGCTGAATCTCTGACTCTCATTGAAATCAGTGGGAGGCTTTCTGTTGAGTTGATGAACATTGCATCAAGCCCTACACGTATTCCTTTATTTTCTGCATTTTCATTTGCTTTATGCGCAGTAAGAAATCATTAATAACTGAACAGGGAGATTGCAGGAAGACTTTACTTTCTTGACACAAAAGGTAGGAAGTATAATATAATGTTTTAAGAAACATACTCAGTTGAAAATGTGGTCATGCCAGGAGTTTTTCACATGTGTACTCCAGGATGACAAGAACATGTAGTTGGAACTGAATTTCATCCATTCAATCTCCCGTTGTAAACAGCCAAAAGAATCCGTTTTCTGTTTGTGGACCCTAGTAAGGATATGCAGCAGCTCATAGTAGCAGCGCAGCACCTCTCAGGAGACAGACAACCTTGTCTTGTCCCATTCTATTTGGTTTGGAGGGAAGAAAACAAGATGCTTGTGGATGAGGTCCCTTGCTACAGATATATATCCAGTGCATCGCCAAGCACACTGTTAGGGCTTAAAAATCTTAATTTAAATTAATGATAATAGGCATTGCAAGAAATAAATGAGTTTTTCAATACTAATTGAATTGTACTTATCTTGGGCATCATTTCTACCCAAGTGCATCACTTTATTCTTAAACAATTAAATTTCATATTCTGCCTCTGCATCTTTTCATTTTGTTTTTCAAGAGGACCCTAAAAAACATATCAGTCTCTCTGAGTCTTAATCCTGCCCCTATTTTGAAATCCATCTGCAGATTTAGATCTTGTGTTATAATTTGACCTTTTTCTTTTTTAATAGCGTATTTGTCCCTGCAGGATTCCACTCCTCACCAACTTCCATGAAAAATACACTCCTTTAATTCCCAGCATTTATCTCTCTCTGCCATTTAACTAGTTCCTTATCTGTTAATAATTTATCTCCTGATCCATGTTTAGAGATTTTTATACAACTTTGTCTGGAGCTTCCTAAAAATAAAGATGATGTAAATCTATTGGGTGCTGCAATCTAAACCATTTGCTACTTCATTTTTAAAAGTGTCGAGAAAGAGGAGAGGACCCATACTCTGGACTTATTGGAGCAAAAGTAAAGCTTCAAAATTATTAAAATACTGCTCTGTGACCCAACACAAGCCATGGTACCAATGAATCAAGATAACTTATTTTGTCCTATGACACAACAACCTGACAAATTACCTTATACGCTCTAAACTCACCCCTTCTCTTCACTCTGACCTGATAACATTATTAGGGGATACTTGTTGTTCAATTTGTAATATATTTGTAAGAGGCTTTTTTCTATTTATTTCTCAGGACTCAATTCCATCTTTCCCACAGTCACCGATGAAAGAAATGCCACCTAAAGCATTCCATCAGTACAGCAACAACATCTCCACTTTAGATGTACATTGTCTCCCTCAGCTGCAGGAAAAAGTTTCTCCGCCTTCATCACCCCCTATCACGTTCCCTCCTGCATTTGAAGCAGCCACGGTAGAGGCAAAGCCAGATGAGCTTAAAGTAACAGTGAAGCTAAAACCTAGGTTAAAAACAATACACAGTGGCCTTGATGATTGTCGACCTCTAAGTAAGAAATGGAGAGGAATGAAATGGAAAAAATGGAACATTCAGGTTGTGATTCCTAAAGGATCATTCAAACCCCCTGGTGAAGAGGAGATAGATGAGTTTCTCAAGAAACTGGGCACAACCCTTAAACCTGACCCTGTGCCTAAAGACTACAGAAAATGTTGCTTCTGTCATGAAGAGGGTGATGGACTAACAGATGGACCAGCAAGGCTTCTTAACCTTGACTTAGACCTTTGGGTCCATTTGAACTGTGCACTTTGGTCTACAGAGGTTTATGAGACACAGGCTGGTGCCTTAATTAACGTGGAACTAGCACTGCGAAGAGGCTTGCAAATGAAATGCATGTTCTGTCACAAAATGGGCGCCACCAGCAGTTGTCACAGGTTAAGATGCACCAATATTTATCACTTTACCTGTGCCATTAAAGCACAATGCATGTTTTTTAAAGACAAAACCATGCTTTGCCCCATGCACAAACCAAAGGGAGCTCATGAGCAAGAACTTAATTACTTTGCAGTTTTCAGGAGGGTCTACGTTCAGCGTGATGAGGTGCGGCAAATTGCTAGTATAGTACAGCGGGGAGAACGTGAGCACACTTTCCGTGTAGGAAGCCTGATCTTCCACACTATTGGTCAGCTGCTGCCGCAACAGATGCAGGCATTCCACTCTTCGAAAGCTCTCTTCCCTGTTGGATACGAGGCCAGCCGGTTGTATTGGAGCATGCGATATGCAAACAGGCGCTGTCGCTATCTGTGTTCTATTGAGGAGAAGGATGGTTTTCCAGTGTTCGTGATCAGGATTGTTGAGCAAGGTCATGATGATCTGGTTCTTACTGATTCCACACCAAAAGGTAAACAAGAATTATGTAAACTCGACAGAAGACTTTCATGACTATACAGTTTCCTTATACATCGTATGTACGGTAAATGTTTCTGATAAATGTTGCCGGCACTTGTTTTCCTGCGTAGCTTTCTTCTTTTGTTTCTATTTCATGCCCAGTAATGTAAGACCTGGGTCTCACAACGTAGACTTCCATTATAGAATGGAAAAATTATTTATCTGGTGCCTAATCATTTGCTAATTCTACTGCATAATGTAATCTCTATAGCAATATGCCAAGGCTGTATTTCTAGCACCGTGAGCTGTACTATACTTACTCAGTACTGTGATTTCAAAGATGAAACTTCTGAGATGCAATGGTGATGGGGGGCATAGAATAACCGTCCTAGACAGATAAAACAATAATGTGCGCTACAAATAAAATGAGGAAGAAAGGATACTTGCAACAAGCTCATAAAGAAGCCAAAACGATATAACATGAACATTGGACAAAATAAGAAAAAATATTTTGTGGTGTTTCTGCTCTGAAAAGTGACTTTCTAAATATGACCTTTTGGGGCTCTATTTTCATTCTGGCTCAATGATCTCCAGATCAGATGTGTTCAAGCTACAAGTAAAAAGATCTTTTTTTTCCAGCTGCCAGCTGTGCAAACACAGCCTAGGCTCTGAAAGCCAAGCTGATTTCTTTCTGTCTCACACAGAACACCTGCTATTTACACCTGTGCAACCCCATTATTATCAATTTATGCCTGCAGTGGCTTGCACAGACGTAACCAACTGCAACTTACTAAACTGTTCTGTACATGATATGCAAATCGTAATAGAATCCAGCTCATTCAGTCTTAGCTGGGTTAGCTTTGCAGGGCTAACATGAATATTTTTGTCACTGAAGTAGAATTGAGTCTGAATACCCACACACACCTGTCAAATCACAAAGATGTCGTTTTTTACATAATCTCTTTTAGGAGTAGACCCATACTTGAAAGTATGCTTAGCCAGCTCAGCAGTATTGTACTAGACATGGATCCATCTCCTGGTATTAGTCACTTTCTGGGCATGGAGGCACTAGAAGTAAGCAGTGCACTCAGACCCTGATGAAAGTAAAAATATCTTGTGTTGTTCAACAGAGACCCATTTAACTAACTGTGCAGTGGCATTGGCAAGCTATGAAGGGAGCCTGATTCACTGCTCTTCAACTGCTATGCAGAATCCCAAGGGTGGTGATGAATGTCAGAGAAAACAGATGAAATTTTAAGGCTCTGACCTCAAAGGACCCCATTGGGCTCAGATGATACTAATGAGAATTGGCTGGATAGAAGAATGGCGGCATGTTTATCAGCTGTGTGATTGGTGACATCAGGAATCTTGGAGGTTATGGGATCCTTGGAGCTAAAGGAATCCTTGCTACATTGCCACCACCACTATGTCCTACCTTCACCATTAGCCGAATGTGCATCCAATCTTATGGGTTGAAGATACACTCTCTAGTCTATTAACACCTCTCCTGAAAACTTGCCAGAGGGTCCTAGCAAACTGACCAAAGTTGCTCTCTTCAGCTAAGCATGCTGTCTCTACAGCATCCCCAGCAATTCTTGGGTGGTGAGAAAGGAACTGAGCTGGAATCTCAAACTCAGATCTTTTATTCCCTTCTTACCAACATATTGTACCACCATGAGACATCTGCAACAGTAAGAGAGAAAAATCGTCAACTTAAGGAAGTGGAAAATTCCATTTATTTAAGGAAACTTTATTTACTTTGTGGTCATTTTAAAAATGTTTTAGCAGGAGAAACTTAGTTGCCTGATTACGTGAGTAGGAATTTGTAATGTGGAATTAGTGATCTAAAAGTTTTCATCCAGTGCTCAGTGTTTGTTACATTCCTCAAAATTAAGAGAAGTATAACAGAGACGCAACACTGTCTGAGAGTACTCAACAGAACATAACTACTCAGATGAGTCTCCATTTCAAACTTCTACACTGTGGTGAAGTGGGATATTTTATTTCATTAAGTTGTTCCCTTTAGATATAAAATCAACTATCTGATACTCTGTGGCCTTTTTCATTACAGGTGTCCTACGCCAATTTCCTTATTTGTTAGGTATAACTATAGTGTCTGTGGGCTTTCTTTACTTGCTCATTCTAATCTTTTTCCATGTGGTCATGTAGGTGTGTGGGATAAAATCTTGGAGCCTGTTGCTTCTGTTAGAAAAGAATCTGAAATGCTACAGCTCTTTCCTGGATATTTGAAGGGTGAAGACCTCTTTGGTTTGACAGTCTCTGCAGTGGCAAGAATTGCTGAATCAGTGAGTCATTGCTGCAACAGTTCGGGACTCTTATTCTAATTAAAGGTTTACAACAATTTAGAACATCTCGGATGAAAACGATACATTTATCATATAAGTATTTGTGAAGTTTCTGCCATTGTGAAACAGGCCACAGGGGCCCTGGGAGTGGATAGTCCGCTGGGAGGGAAATTCCACATGGCAGTGTCAACTTCCCCTCCACCTAGGAGCCTGTCTGGTGCCAGTGCTATCTGAAGAGTGGGTGGAACTACTCCAGGAAAGGATTAGCAAGAGTGGCCAGAGACCGAATGATTTGGTGCAACCTCAGCCAGCAGGCCTATAGCCCCCAGGGGAAACCAAAGTTACCCTCTCCCAACCTAACCGCCGGGGGAGGGTGGGCAGTTGGGGAAATCCAGCCTGCACTTCCCCCAGGTGATTAACTCTAATAGGAAGAGGTTCCATTTGATTCTGTAGTGACTCTTTTTTCATTTGGAGTTCTGTTTTGTTCCGTTGAGAACATGAAAGGTTGTAGCAAATGAATGTGCTACATGCCACACCATGTGCTCACCACATGTTCTTTAGAGAAAATTAGCCAGGAGGAAAAGGGAGTTTTGCTAAGACTCAGTGTCTCTCTCCATATTTCTATATTTGCAAATTAGTCAGTCTGATGTAAAGCAACTCAGAGAGTTACCGGATCAATCACACACACACAGCAGAAGGAAAACAGTAAGAAGGTGTGAGAAAGTAAGATTTTTTTTTCCTCCACCTTCTTACACTTTACATACTTTTTCAGGGAAGAAGAACCTGAAAATCCAAAAACTGAACATTTGAAAGCCAAAATTTTGTGATTTCCAAAAACCAAACCAAAGCATTAAGTTGACGTAAAACAAAAAATTATGTTTTGAAATTTCCCATGGAAAAATCAAAATTTGTCATTAGAATTGAAATTTCCTCATTGTGTGGTGAGAAACTTTTCTGAACAAAAACTTTCTACCAGCTTTACCCATAATGCACACCCAAAAACTAGTGCATGACAGGGGAAGTGTCAGCTGTGATATGGAAGCATGTCACACCAGGCGTTCACCACATGTTCTTTAGAGAAAACTAGCCAGGAGGAAAAGGGAGTTTCGCTAAAACTCGGTGTCTCTCTCCATGTTTCTATATTTGCAAATTAGTTAGTCTGATGTAATATAGATAAGAGTCAAAACACAGCTTTTTGTCAAGGAAATGCTACAGAAGGATCATCATAAGGCAGTGACAAGTCTTAAGTCTCAGCAATTATGAGCTCTTTGCCTGTTCCAAGTTTAAAAAGACAGGCTGTTGTGCGGATGTTTTTCTGATGTGTTAATATGTGATTACTTTGTTTCTTACAGCTTCCTGGGGTTGAGGCTTGTGAGAACTACACTTTCCGATATGGCCGAAACCCTTTAATGGAACTTCCTCTTGCCATCAATCCCACGGGCTGTGCCCGTGCTGAGCCTAAAATGAGTACCCATGTCAAGAGGTTTGTGTTAAGGTATTTTGTTTTAACTTCACATAGTACAGCCCAGGGTTTATAGGCTGCTTAGGGTTATTTGTGCTTTTGTCTGCTGCTTACAAACCCTGTTGTCTTTGGCTGTGTATGTGCATGCCCAAATCAAAGGAACCGCTTTGTTGTCTATGCTAGCTGGCTTTAAGTGTATGTTTGTCTGAAAGTTTTAATAAAATTCAGCTTGTGGTTTTATTCGGAGAAATCTTCAGTTTTTCTTGTATTTTTTTCTGTTATATGCCCAATTCCCGCAGGCCTCACACCTTGAATAGCACCAGCACCTCCAAGTCATTTCAGAGCACAGTGACAGGAGAGCTAAATGCGCCTTACAGTAAACAGTTTGTCCATTCCAAGTCCTCCCAGTACCGTAAAATGAAGACTGAATGGAAATCCAATGTGTATCTGGCTCGCTCTCGGATTCAGGTCAGTTACAACATAGCTGTAGTTTTGAGATTTTATTCCTAAATACAATTCCCTACAGTCTGTAGAGTCTAGTAAAGTCTGAAGGGAATTTGCAGCATATGTCTGGTGATCAGTTTCCCTGTATTGTATGTAACAAAGATTGCTGATTACTTTAAATCTTTTTTTTTTCTTTTTCTGAATTTAATTGACTGAAGCTCTAGCTTGTAAAACTGAGTTGTGTTGTTTTACTGGTGAGGCCTTCACTTTTTTTCTCCAAAAAAAAAAAATAGCAGTTTAGTGAAGAAACTAAAATATACAGAATCCTTTTACCAGCAGCAGTGAGAGGATCATCTGCATATCTAGTAGCTAATTTTAGACCAAGCTAGCTCATTAAAAGATGGAGAACAGAAATAATGAGAGACCAGGATGTTGAGAAAAATACTTGGTCATGTTAATACGATTAAATAGTCAAGTTATTGACTTATGCAAACCTTCCAGGTGTTCAGCTCCATTGAACTTGTTGCCAAATCTGTGCACCAGGCCTTGTATGTATTTGCTGTATATTTTAGGTTGGACTGTGGAATATTATTTAAATGGTTAAAACACCATAGCACACATTTATTTGAATTCTTTGATTCTAGAAACTATTCTTTATTGTTCAAAGAATTCAAGTCAAATAGCTCTAGAGTAAGACATCTACTAGCTTAATTGGCTGCAAGATAAATAATTGCAAAGTGTTTTCTCTTATTTTAAAAAAACTAGGAAATTAAATGCAGAAAACTGATTTTGCATCATTAAAGCTGTATAGTTAAAATCACAAAAATCAGGAGATGAAGTGAAGAAATAACAGAATGTAATTGCTCAGATAATTCTCTGTGTTAAACTTTAAAAGTGTATATTAATTCAGCCATGTTGCACATATACTCTGCTTTTCCTGTTTTCTGGGTAAATATATATATATAACACTTAATATATCACTGTTTATATTTCCAATTGTATATTGTTAAACATATTGAATGTGTGTGTATGCTGGAGCTAAGGTTGCTGTTCGCATTTGCTGACCTTTTGTATTTTTTCAACAGTGTCACTTTTTATCTTTCAATATGCATCATTTCTGCATGTGTAGATAGAGATTTTCTCCAGGCATGGCTTGGGGGCACACCAAAGGAATCAAATGTAAATGTGCATTGATTCTCCTGTTCTAAATCACACAGTATTCTCTTTGTAGGGCCTGGGCTTATATGCTGCTAGAGACATTGAAAAGCACACCATGATCATTGAATATATTGGAACTATCATCCGTAATGAGGTAGCAAACAGGAAAGAGAAACTTTATGAATCTCAGGTATTGTATATAATTATTATTTACTTACTGTTCCTTTCCGTTCCTTTCCTTTAAGTATTCATGCAACAGAATGAGATGTGTTGCCAGCATTTTAAGACTTCCATTCTGAGGAAGCTGAGTCGAAGTACTGTTGTGAATGTGGATGAATGTTTGAATTCTGGGAGGCAGTGTTGTGTCTAGTGATTGTAGCAGGGGACTGGGAATTGGGACTCCTTAATTCATAGATTCCAAGGCCAGAGAGACAATTGTGATCTTCCAGTATAACACAGACCATAGAAACTAGCAGAAGATGGTTTCACTCCCTGACCTCTCAGTTATAGACTCAGCACACTTTTGCTGTGCCACTCTGTTTTTGATTCTGTTCATCACTCTGCCACAGACTTACTGTGTGACCTTGAGATGATAATATTACCTTAGACCTTTACAGAGCCTTTCATTCAAGGATCTCAGAGTGCCTACCAAATATATTAAACCTCACAAACACCAGAGAGTCTGGTAATGTGCTGATCTTACAGTTGTACAAGCACAAAGAGGTCAGAGACTCAATTTTTAGGGACCACTTTTTAAGTAAGGCTTAACCTCTTTGTGCAATGCAGGGATGTTGTGAGGGACCATTGGTAAAGCGCTTTGAGAGCTTACGTGAAAGGTGCTATACAAATCATATTAGCATATTACTTGAGGGAGATATTAAAATCACAGGAGGTTGCCTCTCATGTTTATGGCCGATCCATTCTTCATAAGTAGTGGAGTTAATGATAGTATCCTGCTTTCACATAGTAAGTGAAATATATGAATCAGTGCTTCCTTCGTGAGCCAATGGGCCACGTCCAATTGTGAATCCAGAAAAATACTTGGAGATGGTCCATGTTGCTGCTTTGTTTCAATCACTGATTTTTTTTTGTGTAAAATCTATAGCGTCTTTTCTTCCCACTCTCTTTCAGAATCGTGGAGTGTACATGTTCCGCATTGACAATGATCATGTCATTGATGCTACATTGACAGGAGGTCCTGCAAGGTGGGTGGCTCTTCAGAGAGCTGTGATCTCATGTTTGGAAATTAGCCATGTTCCCTTGGCTGGCTGTTGGGGAGAGATTCCATTTTGTGCTTTTTTTCAATGGCCTTATTCTCTAAACTGATGCATTCAGTCTTCACACTAAGCCACTGAAGCTATGCCATCTTTCTCATTAACTCTCCGTAGCCTTAACTGTTTCATGGCAGATGTACAGCTGTAGAAAAAGAAATGCAATTTTTTTAACTTTTTTATTTTTTTATTTATTTTTTTTACATTTTTCTAGGTAAAGAAACAAGTACAGAGTAATGTAATTTTAGCTGGAAAAATCCGCTCACACTGAAGCTAAAGTCACTCTATAGTTTAGTTTAGGTTTGTGTCCAATTACATAGCTTAAAAAAAATCATTTTCCAAATCTTTTATTTTTGTAGGTATATTAACCATTCATGTGCACCGAACTGCGTGGCTGAGGTGGTGACTTTTGAGAGAGGCCACAAGATTATCATCAGCTCCAACAGGAGAATCCAGAAGGGGGAGGAGGTAGACTTTACTCATTTGCTTTTATTTTGTTGTATAATGTACTGGCTAGTGGAGTGTATAGTATAGACCAGGCCCGCACAACTTGTCAAGCAGCAAGGGCCATATTACGCCAAAGAAAACAGCTGAGGGCCGAAACCCTCCGAGCGCCAACAACCCTCCACTCCAGCGCCACCCAGCCCCCCCTGAAACACAACACACAGACCCCAATGTTGCCCGCCCCACAGAAACAACCCCCCCCACGCACCGCCGAACCCCCCCACCACACACACACCTGCGGGAAAAAACCCTCCTTCCCCAGCGCCGCCCCACTGAAACGGCAGTATTGAACCTCGGTAATGTGTTATAGTGGGCCCCTAAGGTAGTATAATTAAGGTAAAAGAAAAATGTCTTTTTGCTAGAAGTAGAATAAGATCTTCCCCCCACTTTGTAATCAATTGCCCTGTTGAATGAATGAGGTGTGAATGAGGAAGGCGTGGAAGGCAGGCACCTCCAGACAGCTGCAACCCTTGGAGAGGGCAGGGCCGGCTCTAGGATTTTTGCCGCCCCAAGCAAAAAATTTTTTGGCTACTTCCCCTTTCTTTTTCGTGCCCCTCTGCCCCCGGCCCCACCTCAACTCCACCCCTTCCGAATAATCCCTTCCCCAAATCCCCAACACCGCCTCCTCCCCCGGCGTGCCGCATTTCTCCCCCCATTGCTTCCTGCGGGCCCAGCGTGACCTCCCGCCCTAGCTCACCTCTGCTCCCCCGAGCGTGCCGCCGCTCCGCTTCTCCCGCCCCTCCCTCTCAAGCGAGGGAGGGCGGAGAAGTGGTGCGTTCAGGGGAGCAGGCGGAGCAGAGGTGAGCTAGGGTGGGGGGGCGCAGGAAGCAAGGGGGGGTAGAGGAACCGGTCCCTGCTCCAGCTCACCTCCGCTCCACCACCACCACCTCCCCCGAGCACCTGCCGCTCGGCTTCTCCTCACTCCCAGCCTTGCTGCGAGAAATAGTGGTTTTGCATGTGGCAAGCCTGGGAGGGAAGGGGGAGAAGCGGAGCCGCGGCGCATTCAGGGGAGCAGGCAGAGTGGAGGTGAGCTAGGGTGGGGGGGCACAGGAAGTAACGGGGGGGTAGAGGAACCACTCCCCGCTCCAGCTCACCTCCGCCGCCTCCCCCGAGAGCCCCGCCGCTTGGCTTCTCCTTCCTCCCAGCCTTGCTGTGCAAAACAGCTGTTTCGCGCGGCAAGCCTGAGAGGGAGGGGGAGAAGCGGAACGGCAGCGACACGCTCAGGGGAGCAGGCGGAGGCGAGCTGGGGCGGCGAGGGCACTTTTTCCCCATGCCACGGAGTTGGCACCTATGATGGCCGGCACCAGAATGCCGCCCCTAGAAATGTGCCGCCCCAAGCACCTGCTTGTTTTGCTGGTGCCTGGACCCGGCCCTGGGAGAGGGGTTGGGAGCCAGACCAGATCAGTAGAACAGGTCAGCCACCGACTCACCACTCGCCTCCTCAGTCCCCTCCCACCCCACCCCCGGCTCGCCTCCTCACCCCCCGCCACTGCCTGCTCGCTTGCCTCCTCAGCCCCCCACCCTCCGGCTCACCTGCTCCCTCGCCACTGCCCGCTCACTCGCCTCCTCAGCCACTCCCCCTCCCGGCTCGCCTACTCATTCCCCGCCACTG